CCCCTGTGTGCCTGAGGCCCCGAGGACAGTGTTTATCCCCGTGCCCCTGTGTGCCTGAGGCCCCGAGGACAGTGTTTATCCCCGTGCCCCTGTGTGCCTGTGGCCCCGAGGACAGTGTTTATCCCTGTACCCCTGTGTGCCTGAGGCCCCGAGGACAGTGTTTCTCCCTGTACCCCTGTGTGCCTGAGGCCCCGAGGACAGTGTTTATCCCGGTGCCCCTGTGTGCCTGAGGCCCCGAGGATGGTGTTTACCCCTATACCCTTGTATGCCTGTGGCCTGAAGGACAGTGTTTATCCCCGTACCCCTGTGTGCCTGAGGCCCCGAGGACGGTGTTTATCCCTGTACCCCTGTGTGCCTGAGGCCCCGAGGACGGTGTTTATCCCGGTGCCCCTGTGTGCCTGTGGCCCCAAAGATGGTGTTTATCCTGGTGCCCCTGTGTGCCTGTGGCCCCGAGGACAGTGTTTATCCCCGTGCCCCTGTGTGCCTGTGGCCCCAAAGACGGTGTTTAGCCCCGTGCCCCTGTGTGCCTGTGGCCCCAAGGACGGCGTTTCTCCCTGTGCCCCTGTGGCCTGAGGCCCCGAGGACAGTGTTTATCCCCGTGCCCCTGTGTGCCTGTGGCCCCAAGGACAGTGTTTATCCCGGTGCCCCTGTGGCCTGAGGCCCCGAGGACAGTGTTTCTCCCCGTGCCCCTGTGGCCTGAGGCCCCGAGGACAGTGTTTATCCCGGTGCCCCTGTGTGCCTGAGGCCCCGAGGACAGTGTTTCTCCCCGTGCCCCTGTGTGCCTGAGGCCCCGAGGACAGTGTTTATCCCTGTCCCCCTGTGTGCCTGAGGCCCCAAGGACAGTGTTTATCCCGGTGCCCCTGTGTGCCTGAGGCCCCGAGGACAGTGTTTATCCCGGTGCCCCTGTGTGCCTGAGGCCCCGAGGACAGTGTTTCTCCCTGTGCCCCTGTGTGCCTGAGGCCCCGAGGACAGCGTTTCTCCCTGTGCCCCTGTGTGCCTGAGGCCCCGAGGACAG